CACCCCAGAGATGTGGTCAAGTGTCCCCTGACATAAGTGTTTTTCTAAGCTTTCCAGATGAATTTAATGTACTTCCTGGGCTGAGACACCACTATGCTAGACAGGAAAGCAATATGTCCTTGTTAGTTACTGCAGCTGCTTAAGTTAAAGTATTGACTCCAACCTCCTGTTTCGCCTAGAGACCCCTCACTCTGGGCACTGAGGAGAGGGTGTTCTGTGGTCGCCACTTAAATGGGAACTTCCTGAGAGCAGAGCCTGGTCTTTCTGATTCACTGCTAGAACCTGTGCATAGAGAGCCACGTTGAAGGCCTCCCTGCCAGGGGCACCTATTCATTCTTTTGAATTCTTGGTGACTTCCTCTCGTTTGGTGTTTTTATTTTATTTATTTTTAAATTGATTTGAGAGAGAGAGAGGAAAAGAGAGAGTAAGAGAGAGAGAAACATTGATTTGTTGTTCCACATATCATGCATATGTGCCCTGACCAGGGATCGAACCCACAATCTTGGCATATCGGGATGATGCTCTAACCAACTGAACTACCTGGTCAGGGGTTTAGTGTTTTTCTTGTAGGAGAAAATGGGGTGTGGTGAATTCTCCAGTTCTTCATTATGGTGAGGTACTAGGCTAGAATGAGCTATGCTCTACTTGGAACTGCAGCTCTACCTACCCACACATAAACCCTACAAACCCTGGGAGAGTTGGATCTTGGGAGGGTGATTCTCAGCTGGGGTACATAGCAGAATTACCTGTTGCTTCTTTTTTTTCTTTATCCTCACCCGAGGATATTTTCCCATTGATTTTGAGAGAGAGTGGGAGAGGGAAAGACAGAGAGAAAGCATCGATGTGAGAGAAACACATCAACCCGTTGCCTCCTGCATGTGTCCCGACCAGGGCCCAGGCCGGGGAGGAGCCTGTAACCGAGGAACGTGCCCTTGATCGGAATCGAATCCAGGACCCTTTTGTCCGCAGGCCAACGCTCTATCCACTGAGCCAAACCAGCCAGGGCACCTGTTGCTTCTTCAGACTACAAATGTCTGTGCCCTCCTGGAAACCAACTGAATCAGAATCTGCCAGAGAGGGATCCAGGCATGTGTGGCTTTAATAACATCTGGCTAAGAACCAGCACCTGAGGACATTGGTTTTCAAACGTGGCTCGTGGCTCAGCAGCAGCAGCAGCATCACCTGTGAGCGTGTTGGAAATGCAGATTCTCAGCCCCTGCCCCAGACCACCTAAATCAGAAACTTTGGGGGTGAGGTTCAGCGGCAGACTGGAAGTTAACAAGCCCTCCCGGTGATTCAGATGCTTTTAAGAAACTCTGCTTTAGGACGCCTATTTGGGTCTTGCCGCACAACAGAGAATATATTTTCTAAGCAGCATTTTGGAGAAAGTGCCTCAGTGAATGTCATTTGATAATTTCCTGGCTTATGGGTCATTTCCTGCTGTTCCTCTGTTGACACATTTAATCCAGAGAACCTATTAGCAGCTCCTTTTTTGTCTCCTCCCCCCTTAACTCCCCCTAAACATTTGCCCTTTGCTCTCCTAGTCAGGCACCTCTGGGCAGCCTTCAGGGCCCTTCTTAAATTGTGTTCCCTCCTGAAAACCCTTTTTTAACTTCTTGAAATAGAAGATAAGTGCCCATTGCATTCATTTTTGTCATTATTTTGGGTTTTGTTTTTTATTGATTTTTTACAGAGAGGAAGGGAGAGGGATAGAGAGTGAGAAACATCAATCAGCTGCCTCCTGCACACCCCCCACTAGGAATGTGCCCACAACCAAGGTACATGCCCTTAACCAGAATCGAACCTGGGACCCTTCAGTCTGCAGGCCGACGCTCTATGCACTGAGCCAAACCGGTGAGGGCTCTTTTGGGTTTTTTAAACTACCATTTCTGTGTGACCTTGGGCAAGTAACTTATGTTTCCTAATCTGTAAAATGGGAATAATGATAGTGCCTACTTCATTACATGAGTTGATGCATGTTGAAGTACTTAGAATAGTATTCAATAAGCGTAATTGTTCATAGCATTGAATAATGAGAATATAATATTCTATAGTTCATGGTACATACTCAACACGTCAGCTTTTCTCACTAACAATTTTAAGTCACTAAGCGTTTTGCAATTTTTGTAGTTGTCTTTATCTCCCATTAGTTTTAAGCACTTTAATTGCAGGTGATTTTTATTTCTTAGCTCTGGATGTCTTTATCTCCTAAAGTACCTAATGTATGCACAATAAATGTTTACGGAACCATACTGAACTCCATGGGCAATATAGGCCAAGAAGTTCAAAGGAGCCCTTCCTGAGCATGTACCCCAGGCCCCCCTTTTTTGGGACAGTGCCGTTAGCCCCTGACTTCTTTATGATGTCATCCATCCTTCCTCAAAGTCCTAGAGGAAGCTAATGAGTCTGGGTGCCCAGGTCTTGAGTCCCACAGACTATTCACTCTGCCTACAATATCTCTCTTTCAGCTAACAGGTTCCTCTGAAAATTATTCTCAATGGCCTAGAGTCTAAATACCGGCTCTTCCACAAAATACCGACTTCTGCGCATATGCCACGAAGTTTCAATCATACTGGACGTGCGCGCCCGCACGTGGTGTTTTGTGGAAGAGTCACACTCAAGGGGCCAAAGAGCCGCATGTGGCTCGCGAGCCGCGGTTTGCCGACCACAGGTCTAGACCTTTCTTTCTGTTTTTAATTACGTTGTAAAGAGCAGATCTTGCAGCCATGATTTTAACTCCTTCCCAAACAAATGATGTCCCTTTAATGTAGTCTTGTCCTCAGGCAGCAGTGAGTAAGGAGGACAGGGAACTGGCGCCTGGAGACCAGACCATGGTAGTGTGGTCCTCTCGTGAGTAAATTGTAATGGGATATGGTTTTTAGGAATTGAAAGTAGAGATGAGGCCACAAAGGTTGAGGACCCCGACCCCCTGGGGTTTCCCTGCTGCTTTGTAAAGATGCCTGCCCTCCTTCTTGAACTTGGACTTCTGCAGAGTCTGAGTTAAGAGAAAAGGTGTGTCTGCAGCCATAGATGGCGGATGGTGGTCTCCACGGGGCACAGTCATGCTGGAGCTTGAGCCCTCACTTTGCCTCTTGGGGCAAACTTCTTTTTGAAACAATTTGATGTGTCACATGAATATTTTGTGATTTTTCATTCCAGGATTATTGCAGTTGTGCCCATATGATTTTTTTTTAAATTTCACCTTTTTTCCAACTGTTACTTTAATATTTTACATTTCTATTATGTTTATGAGTTTTCTAGAAGTCAGTAGTGTTCGCTGAGTTATGAGATAGCTGAATTTCAACAAGGCATTTAATGAAATCCTGATGTCCTTGTAGATAAAATTCTGTGGAAAGAATGGTAAAGTTAAGGGGATTTATAACTGGGGAATGACTAGACCCACAGAGAGGCGGTTAGTTAGTTAAGAGCTTGGAGTGGGGTGGGGGACAGGGCCGGCTGGGAGCTAACTGACCAGAACACTTGTCGAAGGTGTCTGTCCTCCCTGCTGGCCCAGTCCACATTCTTTTTTTTTTTTTTTTAAATATATTTTATTGATTTTTTACAGAGAGGAAGGGAGAGAGATAGAGAGTTAGAAACATCGATGAGAGAGAATCATCGATCAGCTGCCTCCTGCACATCTCCTACTGGGGATATGCCCGCAACCCAGGTACATGCCCTTGACCGGAATCGAACCTGGGACCTCTCAGTCCGCAGGCCGACGCTCTATCCACTGAGCCAAACCGGTTTCGGCCACATTCTTAATACTTATTTGACTGCAGGCATTTATGGCATGCTTGTCAATTTGAGGTTTGCCCTATGACTGTGTTGTCTGAAGAATCTTACGTGGTCCATTCTATTTCTTGCCTTTGAATCTTTGCTCTGTGTTTGGTGGTTTGAATCCATTCTTCCCCTTTAAGACTCAGATTATCATTTAAACCATTATATTGGAATTACCTGGTCATTCATTTCTCTTTCTCACACCAGACTATAAACTCCTCAAGGATAGTATTCTAAGCATATAGTAGGCTCTAAGTGTTTTTTATCAGAACTGAGAATACAAAAAGATCTTGGCAATCGCTTAAGAGATAGGCCATAAAACTTAACAGGCAGATAAAATTTATCAGGATATACTTGGGTTTAAAACAAAGAAAGAAGCCTAGGTCTAAGCTCTGAGTACAAGGTGGAAGAAAGATGACTCACATCATCGGTAGACCAAGCAAGAAAAGAAAGGCTGTAGTTCCAGTGGGCTTTCCGCTTCACATGAGTCAACAGTGTGATGCAACTCCCGTAGGCTAGTGTCAGAACAGGGAAAGTAATAGTCCAGCTGGCCAGGCCACACAAAGGGTCATGTTCCACTCTGTGGGGCCATTCCTTAAGAGGGGGTGAAGTATGTCCAAAGGAAGGAAGGCAGTTAGAATAGTGAGAGAAGTTAAACCCCATCGTATGGTTAATAGTTGAAGGAAGTAGGGGTGTTTTGTCTGGAGAAGACAGAAGGGACATAATACTGTATTCAAATGCCTAAAGGGCTCATTGGGAACCTCAAAATGTAGAAATAGGCCAGTAGACCTACTAACAATAGAATAGTCTGTCATGTGAGCTCCATATCTGTAGGGTTTGACCAAGAGCCTCTGAGAAGAGGTGTTGTAGAGGGGATCTGAGCAGCTCAACTTTGAGGCTTGGTGATTTAAGAGGTTACTGAGTTCATATTAACTAAATGTTGGGGAGGGATGCAAGGAGCACATCTTCCTATAGGAATGCCTTTTGTCCCCCAGGGGGGAAATTATGAGTTACCTAAATAGTATGAGTTACCTAAATAGAAATTGTTTCTGGACCAGAAGCCTGAACCTTAGTGGGCAAGTCACTTACTATATCATATGTGTGAAATGTACTCAGAAAAGATATCTGATAGTCCCACCTAGTGTATCCGGAGGCTTGTGTTTTCCCAAGTCCTTTTGTGGAACTTTGAATGAAGTGATTACTTTTGTTTTTTTGCTTTTTAGTTCTGGAGCATCTTGGCATATGGGAGGAAGTCAGAAATATCATCTCAAGATCAGAGCTAATAACAGGATTCCCCTATACCTTCACGGTGCCAGGCCTACCTCAGTACCTCCAGAGCCTCACCAAACTAGCCATCGCTGCCGTGTGGGCAGTGGCAGTCCAGCCTGGAGAACAGACACGGGACGTTCCCATCTCCTTCTCTCAGCTGTTAGAGTCTTCTTTCCCTGACGTGCGCCTGCTGACACTGGAAGCCCTGTTGGAAAGGTTTTCAGCAGCAGCCTCGGGATTAGGAGAGAAGGAACTGCCACCCTTGTTGTGGAATATGGGAGGGACGTTCTTGATGTTGGCAATGAAGGAAAATCACCCAGAATGCTTCTGTAAGGTAAAGCCTCTGATGTACTGACTGCCCCCTTCCACGCCCACACTCTTTGATGAACCCACCGGAGTGATCAGATCGTGAGGGCAGGGTTGGCTTTGGCTTCTCCAGGAGCAATCAGAAGGAGATTCAGCATCAGGAGGACAAAGACTCTTGTGTGGTGTTTGGCATGGTTCCATGCATAGGTGGGCACTAAGAAAAGTGTTTGATGATGATATTATTGATGACAGACCAGAGGCAGATTGAGAGTAAGCCACTCAACGCTGTAGGGAACAGCATTGACAATTAGCTGCAGAACGTGTCAGAGGGTCGTCTTTGCTGACGTGGCTATCTGGGGGCAGATAGCCACCTAGAAAGTATAATCAAAAGGAAGGGTCACTGACTTAGGAATCTGGAGATCTAGGCTCTGATTACAGATCACTAGGGCACCTCGGGTGTGTCTGTTCCACCCTGTCTTGGTCTCCCAAGGTATTAGGAGGGAAATAAATCAGGGGGAGCTTTCTGAAAGATAGGCCACCCCCCTTATTGTAAGTGATTATCATTTAGATTCTGAAGACCTTTTCCTGAGGTTTTTGTTTTGTTTTTCATGGATCTGGCCCACACAGATACTGAAAATTCTCCATTGCATGGACCCCAGTGAATGGCTTCACCAGACGGAACACTGTATCCATCTAACCCCAAAGGAGTTCTTGAACTGGACCATGGATATTGCTTCCAATGAAAGGTTTGCCCCCAATGTTTGCTGTGCTACCTGGGTTCCTCGGTGACCCATCAGTCACTTATGTAAGAATTTGAAGATAGTCCTAACCTAGACTCAGGCCTTACATTTTTCAGTCTCAGCTTAGGAGCATGTTCTAAGCTTAAGCAATAAAAAGATGTCAGAGTATCATGTTAATAACCAAAAGGTAATTACTTCTGGAGTGTTTGTATAGCCACGAGGTGATTTCCAGCCTTCACATCCACATAGATTACTATCTGCAAAAACCGTCTCTATATAAAATATGCTTGATTTAATTTGGGGGGTGTTTTTGGCTTACTTTTTCTAGGTCTGAAATTCAGAGTGCAGCTCTGAGGCTTGCCTCCAAAGTGATTGTCCACCATATGCGGACGAGTGAAGAGGTAAGGCCAACTCTGCCCCGATCTCGGGTCTAGATTTTTGTGCTTTTTTTTACCTGGAAGGTGTCAGTAGGCAGAAGCTCTGCCGTGTTTGTGTGACCTCTACAGAAATATTGTTCATGTTGATTTTTCACTTTGGGTATAACTTGTAGAGGATTTTGAGCGCCACCTTTGACATTTCTTTTCTCTTATTCGGGGCACATTTGATTAGAGGCCATGAGAAAGCACAACCTCCTCCTCACCAATACACACACGTACACATACACACCTAGACCCCTTTTTTCCTAATTTTTCTACCTAGACTAAGGAGGGGCTGAATATAATATAATCAAGGATTATAAGTCACTAGGATTAGATCATAGTCACTAAGTATGAAAATATATTGCTGTGGCTTGACTCTTCCCCCAAAACATGGCCCAGCTGGCTGCATTGAGGCCAGTGTGCCCCACCTGTTTCATATGTCCTGTGGGGATAAGGTGGAACTACAGTAATCAAAAGACCTTCCTGGGAAGAAGCCTTAAGACAAATGCATGCACACTGAGGGGTAGATGAGAAAGATGCCACATCACAGAATTATTATATGTAGAAGGCAGTCAGTACCACCATGAAATTACCTGAGGATCTTGGTCACACATCACCACACTGTGCTAGTGTCAGCATGACATTGCGGATTCTGATGCCTTACAATAACGCGGCGCTGAGAGGGGTCCTGGAGACACAAAGATGAAGAGAGACAGGAGGGACAGTCTAATGAGAGAAAGGAGTGTTCAATCATGACATCAAATGCTCTGGTTGGGAGGAGACTGTGGGAATACAGAGGAGGGAGGGAGCGTTTGGGAGCTGAGAAAGACTTTACAGAGGAGATTGTTAGATTCAGCGAACCTGGGGCTGAGAGAGAAAACCAGAGGGTGAGAATTAAGTAGATAGTGGTTTCCTTTGGGCTGTTATTCAAAGGCAGGCCAGGGGTCCAAAGCCAGCTGCTCATTAGCATACAAAAAGCAAAAAAAGTCAGTTGTGTGTGTTGTGGGTAGGGGGATGTTTGTAGGAAGGGAAATTTTGCTAAAAAAAAAATTACAGCCCAGAGGGAAAAAAAACAAGTTCTAAGAAAGTGGTTATAGGGCAGCCAAAAGATATCACTGTCATCTAAAGCCCTTTTTAAGCATTTGTCACATGAATCTTAACGACACTGCTTGGTACTTGAATAAACTGATATTTTATGAAAATTGGGAGTTTTCCAGGGAGAGAAAAATTAACGGAACTGCAGAGAAATGCATAAGAAAAGTTCCTGGGGAAACCTGGGTTTCTTTGTGCCTTGGGAGTTAGAATCTTCCTTGAGGTCTAAGGTGCTCATCAGTTTAGTTCTATGATAGCCTGAAGAGCCAGTCATCTCATTTTGAAAATTTAAAGAAGTTTCATTGACGGGGGAAGTAAAGTACATTTGCAACATTAACCTCTTTTTAGAAAAAGTAAAAAAACAAGAATTTAAAATATAGAAACAAGCTGAATGTCCATCAACTGCTGAATGGGTAAATGAAATATGGTATGTCTATACAATGGAAATTATTCAGCCATAAAAATACATCCTATTGCATGGATGAACCTAAAAAAACACTAAAAAAAACACACAAAAAAAACATGTTAAGTGAAAAAAGCCAGTCACAAAAGAGCACATATTGTTTGATTCAATTTATATGAAATGTCCAGAAATGGCAGATCCATAGAGACAGTTGATGACTTGCTTAGGGCTAGGGGAAGGAGCAGGTGACAGGATGGAGAATGACAAGTAAAGAATGTAAAGGTTTCTCTTTTTGGTGATGAAAATATTCTAAAATTGACTGTGATGATGGTTACACATATGTGTAAATATACTAAAAAACACTGAATTGCATAGTACTTTAAATGGGTAAATTATATCGCAAAACTGTTACTATTAAAAAATAGGGCTTTGTTTAAATAATAATGTTAGTTAGGATAACCGCTTTAAATGTAACAGAAACTCATAAATACAGTGGCTTAAGAAAGGTCAAAGCAGTCAAAGCAGATAGGGTGTCTTGATTGTGTTTGGATCCCCAGCTGTTAGCTTTGATGTTTGCTGTCCTCAGCATGGTCCCAGAGGGTTGCTCCAGCTCCCATCACCTTGTCCTTACTCAGCTAGCAGGAAGTAAAACGCAGGAAATGAAGGTCACTCCTATTTCCTAAGGTTTGACCTGAAAAGTGCACAGATACCACTTCCAATGACATCCCCATTAGTCAGACTTAATTACATGTTGCTCCCAAATTCAAGGAAGTCTGGGAAATGTGTCTTTAGCTGGGTCCCTATATACTCAGCCAAAATCTGAAGTTCTTTTATTAAAGATAGAAGCATCTGGTTATTGGGGACAATAAATACTTTTGTTGCCACAGTCTTTCCCAAAAAAGTTTTGTCGTTACTGAAGCTGTCAAATACACCAGTTTTCTGATAACCTGATGTGCATCAGAAAAGACTCAAGGAACTTGCTTGCCAGTTATAGTGACTCTGTATTACTGAACAACAAGCCAGATGTTCTTCCCCGGGCTTGCTTATTTCTTCCTAGTTGAGATAGAAAAACAGCTGAAAAACCCTTCCTCCCACTGTGGCAAGAGCTAATTTGCAGATCCGGTTTGGTGTATATAGCGCATCCCTCTTTTCATGACTGCATCCTCTGAACTGCTCTAAATGTTGTGCTTTCAGACCAGGGACTCTATGGCCCCCAAACTGAAGCAGTGGGTTCAGTTGGTCGTCTCATCTTGTGGAGATCACCTTCCCACGGAGTCCAGGCTGGCCACCGCTGAAGTCCTCACCAGCACCACACCATTTTTCCTCACCAACCCCCATCCCGTGCTTGGTAAGTGTAGTGAACAGAGGGGTATCCATTGCACTAAATGTGCTCAAAGTATGACTAGATACTCCAGGTTGAAAAAGAAGGGAAGATGAAAAATGACAGTGTACACTATACCTTTTCATCTTTCAAGTGTATTCCCATCCTCTTGGTTCCTACTCTAATTGATCACCAACAGCCTCTTAAGTGGCCGCTTTCCTTTTTTTTAATCCTTATCAGAGGATATGTTTTTGTTGATTTTGAGAGAGAGACAGAGAAACATCAATGTGAGAGAGAAACATTGATTTGTTGCTTCCTATACACGCCCAAGCGGGATCGAACCCGCAAATGAGGTACGTGTGTGCTCTGACTAGGAATCAAACCCATAACCTTTTGATGTATGGATAATGCTCCAACCAGCTGAGCCACCCAACCAAGGCTGGCCTCTTTTCTTTCTGTCTTGACCCCCAAACCATTCTCTTTATGCTCCCAAAAGCTTTTGTGGTCTTTCTAAAGTACAGATCTGATCATTTCACTTCACGCTGAAAACCTTCGAGTGGGTTCCCATTGCCTTCAGGATAAAATCTAAATACCCTTTAACATGGATTATAATGCTCTTCCCGTTGTGTGCCCTGCCTCCCTCTCCCTTCTTATGGGCCAACATGGGCCCTGTGAGTCATAAGGAGGGAACAGTTCTGCAAACAAAGTGCTGCTTGACTGACTTCTATTTGTCTTTCAAGACTAGGCCTAACCGTCACCTCTTCCTGGAAGCCTGTTGTAAGGATCTTGGTGAGAAATGAATGGGTCAGTGTGAAGCTGTGGCATTGAGGAAAAAGAAAGGACAGCTGTTGAATCAACATGACTTAGTATTGAGGTTCATGTAAAAGGAAGATTCGAGGATGACATCCAGGCTTCTGGCTTAAGTGACTGGAAAGATTGCTACCTTCCCTCCCTCTCACTCTCTCTAAAAATCAATGGAAAAAATATATTCGGATGAGGATTAACAAAAAACTTTTTTAAAAAGAATAAAGGAGAGAGTTGCTCTTTTAGATGGTGAGGTTCAGATTTGAAGTGTTGGAGTTCAGACCAATAAAGTCTCATGTCCCTGGAACTTGCTGGGAAACAAGTGTCTTTTTATTTTATTTATTTTTTAAGTATATTTTATTGTTTTTTACAGAGAGGGATAGAGAGTTAGAAACATCAATGAGAGAGAAACACCCATCAGCTGCCTCCTGCACACCCCCTACTGGGGATGTGCCCTCAACCAAGGTACATGTCCTTGACTGGAATCGAACCTGGGACCCTTCAGTTCGCAGGCCAACGCTCTATCCACTGAGCCAAACCGGTTAGGGCACAAGTGTCCTTTTAATTCTTTCTTCTAAGTGACTTGCAGGCCTTCTTTTTATACCCAAACAGGGACTGAAAGGGGACCTTCTGTGATTGTGATTTAATCATTGGGCTCAGAGGAATAAGAACCAAGGTTTATAAACTTTGGTGAAGTTTGTCCAGTGAGAGTAATATTTTGCAGCATGTTTTTGGGGTGACTTTGGCTACTCTAACTAACTCTAGCTCCTATCAAGCAAAAAGTGTGTGGAATACCATGGTATTCCTGAGTGAAACTGAGTCTTGGGAAAAAGCCAATGATTCATAATTATGGAACTGGTTATATCATTATAGGCAATAAGGAAGGAGGTCAGTGGTGGCTGATGACCTACAAGAATATGAGAAATAGGTACCAAACTGGGAGACAAAGGACATAAAAGTGCATGGAGACAAGTCAAAGACAGAACAAAGTCATTTAAGGAAAAAGAAAAATTGAAATGGACTAGAGGGAAGGTTGAGGTTCTTGAAGGTATAAATGACCATGTTAAAGGGAAAATATTAAACCCTAGAGAACTTTAGAATGGGTAGATTCTGAAAGACTGAGTAATATTTAAAGCCATATTTATAACAGAAAAGAGAGACTGGAACCACAGAGGAAGCCATTGCTGTTCTTGGTCTGACTGAAGCGGCAGTGACTGATACCAGGTTCTCTGTGGACAGATAGGGAGAGGATGGGCTAAGGAGAGCTCTTAGGACAGAGCTGGTTCTCCATTGAAGGCCAGGGATGTAGAGTGGCGGGCTTCCTGGGCCCTCCACCGTGATCCTCCACAAGCCTGGTCCACTCCATCTGCACATGTGCCCTTTCTGTGAGACCCTGCCCACCTCCCTCATGAAGTCTGCTTTGGTTACACCGGTCCACTGTGATCTCTCCCTGTGCTGAGTCCCAGCCACACATTTCCATCCCTGACTTCTCATTGCCCTGTGTTCTTGACTTGATGTTCTTTTCAGGTGCTCAGAGATAAACACTCTCTTTTCTGGTTCCATGGTCCACAGCAGCACCTAGCAAGGGACTAGACCAGTGGCTTAGACCAGTGGTCGGCAAACTGCGGCTCAAGAGCCACATGCGGCTCTTTGGCCCCTTGAGTGTGGCTCTTCCACAAAATACCGACTTCTGTGCATGGGCCACGAAGTTTCAGTCACACTGTACATGCGCACCCGCACGTGGTATTTTGTGGAAGAGCCACACTCAAGGGGCCAAAGAGCCGCATGTGGCTCGTGAGCCGCAGTTTGCCGACCACTGGGCTAGACAGAGTCCCTGCCGGGGGGTAATGGCGGTCAGGTAGTAGGACCCACAGAGACATGATATGGGAACCTATATCCTGGTTCCTGCCCTTTTTTCCATCCTTACCCCCAAAGCATAATCTTGATTGAAACTTGCTTTCAGAATATATAAGCTCAGTCACTCATATCAACACTGGGCTAGTTTCCCCAAAGCACCCTTGATGCATAATGTTTCATTCCTGATAATTGTGAGTCACTGTGGACAGCTTAGGCCCAGGGCCTTAGTCAGCCAGGCCGCACCTTCTGGGGGGCCTTGCCTGGGACTGGTTGCCTCCAGAAACCTTCATCCCTCAAAATAAAAAAAAAGAAGGAAGAAAAGACACTTTAAAACCTTCCCCCTTAGGGCGCTCTCTCTCTCTCTCTCTCTCTCTCTCTCTCTCTCTCTCTCTCTCTCTGTTTTTCTGACTCTCAGATTGTCCTTTCTTGGAATACCCAGGAAAACAGGATTGACAGTTGCTCATTAAATACTGTCCTCCACCATGCATTTGAAGTGGTATTTGTACCTGCTTGTAAATTGCATCCTAGGTAACTGGATTCCTTTCTGTCACCTTAGGACTGCAGGATACACTTGCCCTTTGGAGGTGTGTCCTCACCCTCCTGCAGAGTGAGGAGCCAGCTGTCAGAGACGCCGCCACGGAAACAGTGACGACCGCCATGTCCCAAGGCAACACCTGCCGGTCAACAGGTACCTCCTTCTCTTCCACAGTGCCTACTGCTCTTAGACAGGGGTTGGCACTCTTTTTTAGTAAAGGGTGAGAGTGAACATATCAGGCTTTGTTGGCCATTCAGTCTCTGTCTGTCTCTGAAACTGCCAATTTAGTGGGAAAGCAGCCTTAAACAACAGGTAAACAAGTGGGCATGGCTGTTCCAATAAAACTTTATTTACAAAAACAGGTGGCTGCCGAGATTTGATCTGCTAGTCATAGCTTGCTGACTCCTGCTCTAGGATACCATAGAGAAAAATTATTTTCAAAGATAGAAATCTAATAAACAGTGCCTTTTGTCAGTTACACTGTCATCCTTTTTAATAAGGCCAAGTCTTGATTATCTGTGTGGTTACATAACCCAGACATCATAGATTCCTCATTGTGTTCCTCCGTGCGTTTTTAAACAGTACAGAAACAGACGCATTAAGTCTAGAGTCTCCATTTTGTGCCTTGGCTTCTCTTTTTTAAAAAACTTTATTTATTTATACATTGATTTTAGAGCGAGAGGAAGTGGGGGAGGGGTGAAAGAGAGAAACATTGATTTGTTATTCCACCAATTCATGGATTCATTGGTTGATTCTTATATGTGCCCTGACTAGGGACTGAACCTGCAACTTTGGGGTATCAGGACGATGCTCTCACCAACTGAACTACCCAGCCAGGGCCCTTGGCTCCTCATTTGGTGGTGATATTAACCCAGGAAGTAGGAGAGGAGCAGCCTAGGTGAATAGCTCTGAGTTCATAGCCCTGGGGCCCTGGTTATCTGTATATGAGAGCAAATGCTGTGGAAACAAAAGGGAATTTTGGCTGTAGGTAGAAAATGGGCTTCTGGATGGAAGGGATAGGAGGCAAGGTCACACCTCTGGACAAATGGCCATCCGAGAGGGTGACCTCTCTGGTGCATTTGGGACTGGGTATCAGGAAAGATCTGAGTCAGCCGTCCCAAAGAGAAGCAAAAACATCATTTTGAGGCAAGGGCATCACAGCTGAGAAAAGAAATTTGCCTAGTGGGCAGCAGAATGGGAGTCAAAACAGCCAGACAGTGTTTGTAACCAGCTCAGGGCCCCTCATCCCCATGGTTAGGGCTGCAGCCCCTAGAAGCTTTCCTTGGAATGAGTGACTTTCCCAGCGCCTCAGCCCACCGTTGTAGTGGTCTGGGTACTTTTCTCTGTACATGTGAGAGAAGCTAGTTTTTAAATAATCTCTCAGTGGCACTACTCTAGAGCAGGTGTAGCCACAATCAGCTTGGCCTCTCCATGGGAAAACATTCAGATTTGTGATGTATAAGTAGCCTTCTCCCACCCCCCACCCCACCCCTGATCCCAACCTGTCCAAGTTCCTCAATACCTAAAATTCTGCCATTATTGATTCTTTTTCAAGTTGTGGGCTTTCCTTAAAAGGACACCCAGGACACCCGGTGAGTCCTCAGTTAACATTTATTTAGTGGCATATAATACTAGATTTCTCTAGGACCCTCTCCACCAAAGCTGGAAAGAACATTTCATAGTGGAATTCTAGGTGGACTTCTTCCCTCCTAATCTTTATAGTGTTTGCCCTACTATTATTTCAGAATTTTTCCAAATTTATTTATAGTAAACTTTATTATCATCTTCTCCCTCCTTCTCTGAATTTTTTCTCAAGAAATAGAAATCAATAATTACTTATTAAGTTCCTTTGCATGTGAAACTCCATATGTGAAAACCTCTGAGGGAATACTAAATATAAAAGGCTACATCCATCTTTGCATTCCTTATCTTAGTCTATAAAAAGGGAATTATGGTGTGAAAAAACAAGAAATCTATAGCAACTGAATATAGTATCGTTTGTTACCCTGGAGCAGACCTGTACTGGAGGGGTGAAAAGCCATATAGGAAATTATGAGAATAACTGACAACATCGAAATATTATCTAGAGATTAAAATCAGTGTTACATTTCCTGAATTTGATGGCTATGTGTGGTTTTGTAAGAGAACATTATTGTTCTTAGGAAATCCACAACTGAAATATTAAGTAGTAAAGAGGCATTAACACCTATAACTTACTCTCAAATGGCTCAAAAAAAATAAAACTGTGTGTCCATATAAATAGTAAACACAGTATTGTAATTTCTATAGCTGTATCTTTTCAGTATGCTTGAAATTATTCCAAAATAAAATGTTTTTTTTAGTCCAATTCCACAACTACAAAAGACCAACACGGTATATAGACCAGACCATCTGACTGGTTTATCAGCAATTCACCCCCCATGTGACTCCTGTAATTTCTCCCTAAATTATATATTTTTTAAAAACCCTTTTTTGTTTAAACACATTTTGAGTGAATTTTTGCATCCAAAAAAATTAAACTCAAGCCATATTCTTCAGATTCAAAGGTCTCAGCAACATAAGGTCACTGTGTGGGGACACTGAGCAGTTCCCCCGGTGTGCCCTGTGCTGCCTGATAGCTCCCCTCAGCCAGAACCTCCTCAACACAGCTTGCTTTTCTTTTCTTTTTTTAAAATATATTTTTATTGATTTCAGAGGTGAAGGGAGAGGGAGAAAGAGATAGAAACATCAGTGATGAGAGAATCACTGATTGGCTGCCTCCTGCCGCCTCCCACTGGAGATCGAGCCCACAACTCAGGCATGTGCCCTAATTGGGAATCGAACCATGACCTCCCAGTTAATAGGTCAATGCTCAACCACTGGTCCACACTGGCTGGTCTACACAGCTTGATTTTCTTAAGCGAAAAATATGCATCTGTTTGCTTTAGACTGAAAAGTAGCTGAGAACTGAGGATCACCCTGATTTTTCACTGTAGTCAGATGGTTAACCAGCTGATTTATCAGAACAGTATTGTCTTATTTTGTCATCTCGCAAGGATATCAAGCAGCCAGTGGCAACTTTCCACATTCCTTGCTGTTCCAAGTTATCACTATTAAATCTTGACTTCCTTGGAAATATATGTCATTAATTTTTGTCCCCAAATCAGTGGTTTAATAAACGTCACAGTGAAATAATATTATTAAACTCTGTTAATATTTAGATCTTTTTTGAGTGGTGATGGGGGTAGTAGACTCAACAGGATTTGGGGCTGGTCCTGTGGGGAGTGGAAGACAAGTGGAAGCAAAGATGACTTCAAGGTTGCAAACCTACCAAGCTGTGCCTCTGGCACTGATGTAACAGTTAGGCTGTGGCATTCCAGGAAGTCAAACTACTGGGAATCGGGAAAGGCACTCAGGGGCCACAAGTCACTGCGCTCTGGGACAGAGTATTCCGTGGGCTGTGGAGAGATGGGCAATGGAAATTGAGAGGGCAAAGAGGGACCTTTATCTGCCATAGGAACAGAATGAACTGTCCAGCTCTGCCCTGCCCTCCCCACAAACTGCACAGTGGGCCTGGAAGCCCAGCACTCCTTAATGGGCCCCATTATTGATCCCAGGAGGCACAGGCTAGAAACTGTCGAAGAAGAAGAGGAGGCAAACATTAACCGTGGTTTATCACCCTAGCCTGTCGCCTTGAACACAGTTGGCCTCAAGTGTAGATTTGTGGAATGAATTTGTCAGTGACTCTGGAAGGCCAAGGGAAGTAACTCTGTGTTTACATAGCTCTGTGAGGATGGATTTGTTACCTCTTTTGCCTCCTGATTTCTCCTGCTGTCCACGGGTCACCTGGAAGGTGAAGCTCACAGCCTATTAGCAACATTCTGAACACCACCTGAGCTCCCCTCCCTTTGGAAGGAGGACTTCAGAAAGCCCCACAGTGGGACCTGGCCACTCCTTACCTCCCACTCTGCCAGCCGGCGTGACTCAGTGGTTGAGCATCAACCTATGAACAAGGAGGTCATGGTTCAATTCCCGGTCAGGGCACATGCCTGGGTTGTGGGCTTGATCCCCAGTGGAGGGTGTGCAGGAGGCAGCTGATCAATGATTCTCTCTCATCATTGATGTTTCTATCTCTGTCTCTCTCCTCCCTTGCTCTCTGAAACCAATAAAAATATACAGTGGGGCCTTGACTTACGAGTGTCCGGACTAACGAGTTTTTCGAGATACAAGCAATCTCTTGGCCACTTTTTTGCTTTGAGTTGAGAGCTAAAATTCAGGTTACGAGCCAGCTTCAGATACCCCACCGCTAGTTGGTGCAGCGAACGTCACAGTGAACGCCACAACATCAGCCCAGCATCACGTGTCTCACTCGTTCACTTTTTGATTTGACATACGAGTAATTTGAGTTACGAGCTGCGTCACGGAACGAATTAAACTCGTAAGTCAAGGCCCCACTGTATATGTATTTTAAAAAGTGGCCTTTCTAGGACTCAAGTGCAGGTGACTGAACTTTGCAGCCAGGGGAACAAGTGTTTGGGCAGGACTCCACGAGAGGCCCCCTTCCTCCTTTCCCTGCTCTGACTTGACTCCAAGCCTTGAAATGCTCTGGAAAGAGCTCTAGCTTCAAGAACAGGAGACACTCAAGGCCGTGGACTCTGCGGTTCCCACTTCCCTGGGCTCCCCCACCTTCCACTCAAGCAGCTCCCTAGTGTCTGTTTTAGGCAATAGGTCACGTCAGGTTTCATTTGAACGAAGACAGCCATGTGAGGAAAACAACCTGGACAACATTTAAATCACTGAATTTGAGTGCTTCTCAAGTTAAGCAGACAGAGTTCTGGGGGGAGTAGCAGGAGAGGAACTCCTGAAGGGCCCAACTATAACAGGCTGCTTTTGGAGAAAGGGGGGATGAAAAAACACCTTTAAAAAATCTCTAGAGAGCTAGAAAAATGGCCAGATCCATCAATTGGGGGTTTATCCCGGGACCTTACCTCCCAGCAGGGTGTTTGGGCCTTTCATTTCTGTAGAGCCCTTTGACTCCAGTGCAGGTTTTTGGCAGCTTTAAGGTACTGTGCTGCAGTCAGACTTGAGGACTCCGGGACAGAAGGACAGAAGGCACAGACCTGAGGTGTCCCGCAGGGGTGGCTAGATCTGGAGACCCGCAGGTGGAGCCCTAC